GGTGTATAAAAAAACCCGTCTTTGAAGAAACAGCGAACTCTGAAAACATATTCTGAAGTGCTTGGATCGGACACCTATGTCACAAAATAAAATTTCCGCGATTAATTTAGCCTAATAATTATGTTGTGAGACACGTCTGGGTTCTGTAGTTAGGAGTGAAACCGAAATTAACGTTCATATCAAGAAGTTGACTCCAGAATAGTAGTTAGTTTTGGTTTTGTTCCTGAATTGAAACGTGCCTCCTGGCGTAAGTATCACAGTGAAGACATTTTTTTTTTCAGGATAAAGAGCTGACCTGTGTGCCTAACATCCCAGCTTCCCCGTATAAGCGGGAATAATTTGTGTTGCTCAGGGATGCCAGATAAACAGACAGGCCCAACAACTCGTATACTCGCAAGGGTCTTGACCCTCACTGTATCCACCATTTTGGAAAACAAGTGGCGCCACCTATAGACAGTTAGTCACGAATAGGAACAGAAGCATGAAGAACACCATGACGTTGCGCTTTTTGACGCTGTTTCATCGGTCCCATCGGCTCGTAGCTCTGGCATAGCCCGGATTTAGATAAAACGAAGTAGAGCTGTGGAATATGGGGTAAGAATATTGCGTCAAAACATTTTTTTGCATCTTTTTGTCAAACAGTTCGTTTTTGACGTAGAACTACGTCTTTCTCCGCGCTTAAAAGGGGGTGCAAATTGGGAGATCATTGTCACGAAAACTTGGTCACGGGAGTGACATCACACAGATAACACCGGAACACCGACCGAGTAGCATCACCGCGCTCCCCAAGGACGTTCGCTCCCTGACCGTGCGCTGGCTGTTGCTTAGAACCGCGCAGTGCGCACGCGCGTCCTTTCTTACCTGCTGGCTTGCTCGTTTGCTCGCTTCAACGCAACGTGCTCCTGTCTGAATAAACAGTTTTAGTGGACCGTACGCTATAGCTTTGCGTACGCAAAAAAATTGCGGATCGAGAGTGCGAATGCGCAGAACGCACTGCACTCTCGCGCTCGCAACGGTGGGGATTTTCCATTGCTGGCTAGTGGGCTTTGCGGGACGCTCTAGAGAGAACTCGGGCCCAACGAGAGCGCCAGTTTCAAGATGGCGGTTACCTCGACTGGCGCAGCAAGGGCGACGTGGTGTTCGCGTAGTTCGGTGTTACGTAAAATTCTGTGGTGTTCAGCTCGGCAATACTTTCTGAGACCTACCGCGGTCGAATCAGATCGCCGTGCAGCTGGGAATGCACAGTGAAAACGTTCATTGCTCGGTATGTGCGTCAACGCTGCGATATCTGCTCAACGCTAAGCCTATTCGTGCGGTTCATCGCCGACGGGCAAACGACTCTAAAAAGAAGTCGCCGAAGTTCTCGCTATGCACTGAACATCAGTAGGTCATGGATTTTATTTCGCGATAGCATTGATAAAAGGGGCCGTTTCCACGGGACGACTGACGGAGGCTCCGTGATTGAATTTGGCTACGCACTCGTACTCGTAGCCTCTGTACCCCGCAGAAAAGCGCGCTTGCCGAGGCAGCTGCGGCTTGGTTTAATTTTAAATAAAATGACTGGACACGTTTTTATTTTTAATATTTCTTTCCAGGAGTATGGTGGCGCTATAAGCAGGCGGAATTCTACGGTTCTGGAAAATTTAACCAAGATCATGCGAAGTGTTCAATTGGAAACGTAACGCACAACTAAATTCGGTCCGAGCAGGTCGTTTTTAGCGTACGCTATACTATTGCGTATTGCGTACGTAAGAGCCAGCAACGCTATACTAAAACTCTATAATAAAACGGCAATAGACGCCGCTCCGGCAGCCGTCATTCTGCAAGCTTCGCTCATCTCTCTGGACTGTGGCCGAGCGGCCGAGCTCGCGTGTTCTGCGGCACCGGCAATTCAGGCGACTCTCTCACTCGACTCGGCGAGGCGTTAAAAACAATCGCACGCAATTCCGCATAGAGCCTCGAAGATGGCGGCGCGGGGGCTGCACATTTGCCTCTACCGGACTCCGAGCCACAGGCATTCGCTTTTTGCACACCCGACATAGTCAAGGACGTTTCTTGAGCTGTGGCCATAGGTCTACGCAAATTTATGCAGCACAGCAAACCTATGCCCCGACCATTGTTTTGTAATATTCAACGAAAGCTTGCTGGATAACGGCCTGATCACGCGTTAGTGCGCATAGTCCATTTCCGTAATTTGATTGCCACTACGTTTTTGTTTTTTTTTTTCGCCTTATAAAGCTCTTCATCTATATTTTCCAGTTTTTGCCTTAATATTAGTGATGTCATCCTTGAACGCGCCCAGCTTCTTTTTTTCCTCTGCATGAAACCTCTGTAGATCTAATCGGAATCCTTTTTCTACTTTGATTTTATTTCGTTTCATTTCATTACATTAAGGGCCACTTGAGGAAGGCATTACATAAAGGGGAAAGAGTGTTGTCAAAATTTTATTTTTATGTAACTATAAAATTACCACAAAAAAGGAAAGATCAGGAAACATCATTATATACATATTCTTGAAACAATTTAAAAATTTCGTGCGAAAAACGTTTGTAATTACTACTAGTTACCAAGCTTCCGGGCAGGCATTTCCAATCTGATAAGCATAATGGAAGGGGGGAACATCTAAATGTGTTGGTCTTGCAAAAAATAGGTTCTACTTTGCATGGGTAATCGAAGCGAGAGATATTATGGTGGGACGGAGAAATAAAGGTTCAGGGAGACCATGGTTTATAGTACAATATCTGCATGAAAGAGAGCCGGTCTATTTTTCTTCGAATGTCAAGAGCTGGTAGGGATATGGAATGTTATAAATAAGATATGCTACTCAAGGTGTAGTTCCAATTAATAAAATGAGTAGCACGATTTTGGACAGCGTACAGTTGGTTAATTAAATAGCTTTGATGAGGGTTCCATGTCACTGATGCCTACCTCAGCTTAGTTCTGACTAATATAATATAAGCTGAAAGTTTAACATAGGATTTCGCGAGAAAAATATGCCTTCTTAAAAATCCTAATATTTGGTTAGCTTTAGAACAGATGTAGTCGACGTGACACTTCTAAGTTCTATGATGAATGTTAAGAGAGGTACAATATTTAAATGCGTTCACCCGATCGATGTTTCCAGGTTAAATTGAATATGAGAAAAACACACTTTGTTTTATGATGTTGAGAATGATATTATTATAGATTTATCTGGGTCGATGGCCATAATCCAGTCGGACGGCAGTTGGGAAACTTGAAGAGAGTGCCCAAAAATTAGGAACAGAAATTCAGCGGACGCGTCTTTGGTCAATTTTAAGAGTCGGGAGTAAATTTATCACTACCAGGTAAAGAATTTAAATTAAGGCGGCTAATGACATTCGCAATACCCTCTATTGAGAAGTAAACATCTTCCATGGGCGTGAGACATTCGGAGGTACATAAGCTTGGAGTCGGAAAAGTTTCACGAAGGATAACGTCACGAAAAAAGGTATTAAAATTAGAATAAACCACCGAGGAGAATAGCAAGTTACCTTATGAATCTGAAGTGGGCAGGTTGGCCCCCCTTGGTTTACGATTGGTGAATTACCAAAACCTATTTGTATTTCTAATTATTGCTCCCTTTAGATCGTCGTTGAAAAATTTACGTTTTGCTATCTCGATTTCATGTTTACACTCTTTGGAGAAAACTGGAAATGGAAGCCTCATAGCTTCCTTGCTTAATTACCCAGCCTTGCAGTAGAAACGTTTATTTTTTGTTTAATATTCGTTTAATTTTTACAGAAAACGACGAGGAGAAGTCTTAAAGAAATTATATTTTTTGGAATGAACGGATTCGCACAGCTAAGCAAATCTTGCTCGAATAAAGGTGGCGATTAAGGACAAATTGGTTTCGACAGAACAATTTTTTAACGCGTTTCTAAATTCTGCAAACGCCTTAAAAAGAGAGGAGTTAAAACCCTCTATGTCAACTTTTTGGTCGTCCCAGATTGCGTTGGATGACCTTTGTTTGACCGGAACTTTGTCCGATAGAGCGACGTTTATAAGGGCACGATCACTCTACGCTCTTCTCGTTTTATGTGATATGCCCTTTCATTTTGTTAATTTTAAATTATTTTTCAAATAATTCCTTCTTTCTACAAATTTTATTCTCAGGCACGTTTCAATATTTTTTTCTAGCTTCGTACCCTTGCAGTCAATTTCTTACATTAAGGAAGCATTACGTTCAACGTCCGAAGATCCCACGAAAAGCACGCGTACTGCTTGCGTTGACCAAACTTAAACGCCACTAAACTGTGATCACTAAACGATGCATAAGCTACTTCGTACTTACAACATTGTGATACATTGCGGACTGACAGAGACGCTTTATCGAGGCACGCACGGTAACTTCCTTGATGATGCGGGTAGATAAACTGGTTTCCACCCGACACTCAATGCGCCACGTCCCCAAACTCGGATCTTTAATTACTTGGTTTAGTAGCTCGGCTGCTTCATCTCTGCTGTGAATTTGAACGATATTCTGGCACACAAACACAATTAAAATTTCCTAGTACCATAACGAGTTTATCGCTCGTATGACAGGAGGAAACATCTTCAAAAGGAGAAGCCGCTCACATTCCACGTTCGAGGCGTAATTGGAAAATCCCCCTCTATTTTAAGACGAAACAAAAATCGCAGAGAACGAATTGCCCTGACTCGCACGTTATAAATTGTTCCTCAACAAATCCAGACGCGTGATTTATGAACAGACAACGCCCACCAGATCTGCCAACCGAATGGTTCACAGAGACGTTGTACTGATACCTAAACGGTTTCACCATAAGGTCGGTTTGACTCACTTTCAATTTTTGCTTCTTGTACTGCTAGTAAATACAGGTCTTTTTTCGTAAGTAGGCGGGGCAAGCTACACACTGCTTGCAGCATACCGCAAGGCCCCGGGTGTTCAAATCTCCTATACGAAAACCGGATGCCAGCTGTACGATGGTTTAGTGTTGTCAAATCTGCCTCTCGGTGCTTACCTGTCGCTCCGTGACACCAAGCAATAAGCACAGGCTCACTACTACAGTTATTTCTGACGTGATAGCGACGAGGAGAGCAGCTTGCCTGTATAGCGTCCCTTTTTTCCGGCCATTAGTCATGGCCTCTCAGGATCGTGTAGCTCTTGTTCGTCGTCCTCCCCGGTCGCCAGGCCTAGCCGCCTCTTCACATTCATGGGACCTAGGTTCATGCTTGGCTACTGATGTCTGCCTTTGCCGGTGCGTCAGCGCCTCCCGCCGTCCCTGTTGTTGCCTCCGGCGTAGATGTGCCCGATGCCCATACCTGCGTCACGTTTGGGTTGCTTCCAACAGTCGTACCAGTAGGCGGCGCAGCTCGGGCACTCACTTCCGTCCTCCCGATACAGACTGCATCGTCTGCGGTTTCGTCCTGCTCCGTCGTCTCCAAACTTTTCGCCGACAGCATTAAGCCTCTGGTTCCGTCTCATTCTGACGAGGCCGTGGCTATCATCACCGACGCGGCTGACTACGGCGCTAGCATGCGAGCGTACGCAATCTTAATCCGCGTGGCCAAATCTTCGGCACTGCCTTCACTGGGGCACACAACATGTCTTGCCGTATATGTCCTGAACCTTTGTCACTGCAGGTATAGTGGTGCCCGCCCGGGCATGATAACCAAGGCTGTGCCTCCTTGGAGCCTCAGCTGGTGAGCCAAGTTGCGTGGCGTCAATCCGTTCTAGAAAATTAGTCCGGCCATCCTTGCAGTCGACTCGACGTCTTCAAAACCCCCAACACGCCACTCTTGTTTTGGTTACCTCGTGAACCGCCACCATGGGTTTCCGGAGAGCGTCAGTGGGGACATCGAGGGACATCCAGTGAGGCTTCACACAAATTTCTTGCCTGTTGGGTTTCACAGGAATGTACAGCTTTCCTTTCGATCCATCGATCTTGCTCAAGGGCTCCCCTACAGTCTGCAATTCGTAATGGCCTGGCATTAACGTAGCAGTCGAAGTAAATATGGCTTTTCGCCTTGTCTCCGGCCGGCAGCGTCGACAATACAGTTCGGTAGTCGGCAGGTACACATCCATCACTATCACCACGGCCCGGCAGCGACCGTTATCTACTCTCGTTCGTGCGAGCCATCGAGCGTCCGCACTGCTCGGCAGCCGAGCGATAACTCCCAACTGAGCTATCTATTGTTTTTGACATTAATTTTCGGTCACCCCAGAAAAAGTTTGCTCTGTAACACGAAACGAATCCGTTGAGTAGCGGGAGGATATATTGAGAACGTAGAACAAAACTTTGAAAACTACCCAAGGGACCCCGACGCTCAGCCGCTGCGCCAACGGGAAATCTTTGGAATTGAAAAAAAAAAAAAAAAAAAAACAAGAAATGTACGTCAAAACTAATTAAAAATGTTCCGGAAGGCTTTTGTAGTACATAATAAAAATCCCGCACTTCGAGCAGCACTTTACACAAGCCTAGGCATTCGGGCTAACATTCGCGTGTGGCGATCGATTGCGCCAACGGGGAGACCTGTGAAGTATTCATTATTCACTTTGATAATATTTCATTCGCCAAACAACATTGCAGAACGTATAAGTAGCACCAGTGGGTACCTAGGACTTTCGCTCCATCTGCACGAGAGCTCGTGCGGCCGAGTCGCAATCTAACGCAAGGAGCTCTTGCTTGTATCCGCCATTTTGCAGGGACACACAGCTTCCAACAGAAGGCACAACTTTGCAAGGGGTTTTATACAATAGAATCATGACAAATATTTCAAATGCGTGACAGAAACTAACTGGGATATGTAAAGAAGAAGAGGACATCTTGGGCTGAGGTATGGTTCAATTCCTGAAGAAAATATAATTAGGAAGAAAGAGCAAATTCTTATATTATGAAACTCAAGGAACTGTGAAACCACAATATATATTTATTTATTTACGTTGCCCACCTGCAGCCCGAGGCCTAGAACGGTGGTGCTCAAAGTTATTTGACATACCAAATGCCAAAACACAGACACCACGTTATTGTTAAAAACGTCGACAGGAGAGGGGTGGAGGTAATTAAAAAAATGTTGAGTGAGAACTAGCGGAGATACACAATGTATAAGGTTTATGGTGAATGTGCGATTTCGGCGGAAACGCCGAACCGTAAATTTTATATCGATGTAAGATATGGTACTTACACTATCATATAGTACACTTAACAAAAACACGCGGTCATTCTTACCTCGCCTAGTTAGTAAATCGATCGAACCCGATTGAGAGAGCACATTTTGTTAAGAGTAACACTGGGACAAGTGTTGTATTACGTGGAACATTCTAGCGAATCTTCTTTGCACTCGCTGCAAGTTCGCCGTAGCAGTGGCATTGAGGTTGTTCCAGACAACTGAGAGGAAATCTAATTTTAGCAGAAACAATTCTAAACAAGACCAAAGAAAGAAAACAAATCTTGAAACACAAATCTCAGGCGGCGAGTGACAACGCCCAACACTTTTAGGAAAGATAACACGATTGTAGCTACGTGATGGACTATTCAAATTCAATTTATTGTCCAGTATTACACCAAGAGCGCTCACAACCGACACACGTTTAAGAAGAGTTTTATCAAGATAGTAATCATAAATACCAGGTAAAGTTTAGAGTGTGATCCTATGATTTTTTCTTTCAGATGGTTTAGGTCAAGCTCTTTATCTGCACACCATGTACCTACAGAACTGATGTTGAATTGCTACATGGCCATTTATAAATAGTTTTCACTTATGAATATATTTTTATGTCGTCAGGAAACTGGGATAAAGTAGAGTGCTGTAGAGCCCTGAGTATCGTTAACAAAAATGTAAAAAGCACAGGACCGACGTTTGAATCCCGTGGCTCTCCGGACGGAACCGAAAACAAATATGACTTGGCTCCTTCATGGGAAACACAGTTCAATATTTCCCGGGGGTAGTGGAGAGCTACAAAGAACAACCAGTACTTATGCCGCTAAAAGATAATTTATGATGTAAAATATGACTAACCCAATCGAAGACTTTACTGCAGTCAAAATCGACAGTGTTAGTTTCTTCGCACCAACTAACACTTGGTGCTCCATCACTCAGGAAAGTCGCAAGGTTAGTTGTAACGGAACTACCGCTTAAAAAGTCATGCTGATTTTCATCAGTGACTCTCTTGAAGATACTGAAAAAATCTATGAAATTTTTTTTCGATAACTTTGGAAGAAGTCGGTAGTAAGGATATAGGCCAAAGTGTTGGGTCTTCCTGATTTCAATAATGGAATCAAAACACCCATTTTACTTGCGGTCGGAAGAGCAGCATGTTCAAGTGACAGTTTAAAGGAGCCCTGAAATGATTTTCGTACTTTCGCTAAATTCTGATTAGAACCACTCCATACAGTTTATAACTGAATAAACTTGCCTTAGATTTTATTTCTAGGCAATGGCCATCGCCAAAACAGATTTGAGAAATATGAGCATCGTTCATTGCCTCTACTCGAAGCCAGAGCAAGCGGCCACTTGACCTGGTGACTATCTTATGCCGCCAACGTTAATTACACACACGCTGGGGTTGGCAAAGTAGAAAACGTGTTCTGAGCTCCAGGCATTGTTAGAGTTTGGCTATTCTCATCACCCCAGTGATTGGACACGAGCCACTACCCGAGTGTCCGCCGAGGCATTAACTGTTACGAGCCAAAGACGAGTGTTCACAAAGTTCTCGTGTCCAATCCATGAACCGCGTTTGACTGTCGTCAGGCGGGTGGTTTCGATCCCACAATTACGTCATCAAGATTTGCGGAGGAAAGACTGAAAGAAATGGTCCCCTTTTATCCTCGCAATTCAATCGCGACCAAGCAACTTCTGAATCAGTAGCGGTTTGTGCGAGTATACACGCCAGACTAGGACCAGTACGCCTCTGCAATGTCGTGAACATTCCAACCCGATATCGTTTCATGACCCCTTTAGATATGTAAGCGAGCAATAGAGCGAAAATATCTGCGCAGCCTTTTACAATGAAAGAAGGGATGCCGTCGTGTCCACTGGACCTACTATGGGGAAGCTGACCTATGGTAAAAGCTATATCATCATGCGTAATGACAGGTGGTATAAAATTATTACACTAGGCCCTTGAGATATTTGCAACTCCAACGAAATCGACGCCGCGTGACAGAAACGCAGAGAAGCTCTGAAATAAGGTCGTTTCGCCTCTGTCGTCTGCTTTCGCTACTTGGTTCTCGAAAGCGGCATAGCTTTATGTGTTTGTCACTTGCACTTGACTACAAAGTCACATGTACTTGTCACTTGTACTAAAGTCACTTGTACTTGGCTACAAACGTTTACTAACCTATTAAGGTTTTTTTTTTCTTCAAAGATGAACCCGAGGATGACGTTCAAAGCGCATCAGACAAAGCCAACGCAAACCCTTATCCTTACTTTGGTGAACTTCTGGAGGACGATACCTTGTTATTTTACAATGGCTTTTAACCCTTCCAAGGGAGTAGAGGATTTTCAATATCTTCCACCTTACGAAGCTTAATACTCAAACAATAAACCAAAAGTCTAGATTGGCCAAATGCTGGAACCGAGCTGTTGGAAGAAACAAACATCGTTTCAAGTAATTATTTTTCTTTCTACCGTGTCACTCTGCACTGACTGGAAGGTTTTTACCTTCCAAAAAGCACTTTGCTTTCATATTCGACACCGATTTTACGCTTCAGCGCAAGAAATCTTTGGTAATCCGCGTGCTGAACGATAGAAACGATCTCCTTTCGTCCGCCATTTTGCCTGACCAGTGCGCCCCGTATAGTTCGCTGCGGTCGCCAATAGCCCGGATGTTGTTTACTGGGCAAAGTATACAGATACAAAAAATTACAGGCAAAAAGGTTTTTAAACTTTTTTATCTTGTCCTTAAATTGCTGGCACATAGGCAAAAAGGACGCGTGTAATATTAATAATGAATATGATTGATGCTATATAGGAGCCGACTGTTTGAAAAACGCAGGGTGTGTTGTTATTGTGAGGCTTCTTGATTCTTGGTTATATTTTTTGCGTTTTTATTGGCTAATGCTAAAATCCAATTGACTAAGGAACAATAATAAAATGCTCGGGATTTACCATGACCTGCGTTCTTTAAGTGGTCAATTATTATACAATGATTGAGTGAATACTGTCCACAGAGACTGAAAGGCCCTAACAATCTAGCTGCTTGGATGCCACATTCAGCTCTACGCACTGAATTAGAGCAGACTCTAATGAACACGGCTCTAATGAACTTGCTCTTATGAGCCATAAATTGAAGCTTCCTTCCGCGGACTTGCCTGAGAAGGGCATTCTACAAAACTATCTGTGTAGGTAGTGCTCCAGTCGATTTTATGAAAAGCATCAGTTTATTAAATGCTCCGCCGGCTGTAATTGCCGTTTTCAGTGCAAATGTATCAACGTGCGCGTCCAAGACTGCAACATATTCGTGGAAACTGGTGCCAGCCTTTACAAGAGCTTGTTCTACATTTGACGCTCGTCATAGACAAAAAACTCTGGAGAGGCACACGTCAATTGTGAACGGCGAGTTGCTTTCCTGGGAGTTGATCCAGATGTTCACAAGTATTCTGAGCGAGCTGGATTTGCCTCAGATGGAAGTTAAGTGCTTGAAGGCCGGCAACACGTCCGAAAGCGAACTCGGAAAATCTAGAACAGAGACCTCTGAAATGATTTAGAAGGTTTATGTCAAAAAGCAGTGACATCCGCGATGTGTTTTGAGTGCACTCATGCTTCTAGAATGGCAGAACGTCCTTGAAGTCAGAGATGTCGGATAATGTCGCCCTGCCGCTTTTCGTCTTCCAGCGATGTTCTGCCGTTCCTGAAGCGCCAGTGACACTTAAAATACTTCACAAAATTCACTGCTTTTTGACACATGCCTGCTGAATCATTTCAAAGTTCTCTATTTTATATTTGCCAAGTTTTACGCAGGCGACGTTCGCTGCTGCACTGGTTTGCAGTCTATAGTGAAATCCCGTTGCGCCCGTGCAGGTGGTCACAAAAACTCGCTTAGCGCAGTTGCAAATGTTCACAGAGCGACGTT